CCAATGACAAAGTATTACCTCTTGCATTCGCTGTTGTCGACAGGGAGAGTTTGGAGTCTTAGTCGTTTTTCATTTCAAATATCAAGGAACATATTGTAATGGACCGACAGGGAGTGACTTTGATATCTGATCGAGCTGAGAGTATTTTAGCTGCTATGAGGCGGCATTGGCTGAATCCCTCGCTCCAATTTGTTGGATATCATCGGCACTACTTTCGACATGTTTGTAGTAACTTTAACACTAGGTTCAAAAATAAGGAGCTGAAACAACTTCTATAGAAAGCAGGGAGTGCTCATCAACGACGAAAGTGTAATGGTTACTTAGAACAGATACAGACTATTAACCAAGATGCCATCAATTGGGTTCACAAGATGAATCCTGTGGAGTGGGCCCTTGCATATGACGGTAGATATCAGTGGGGGGGTATTGACCAGCAATGATACAAAGTGCTTCAATAGCGTCTTGAAAGGTGCAAGGAACTTACCTATCTCAGCTATAGTTGAATTTACATTTCGGCGGCTCGTAAAATATTTTGACGAGATGGGAGACCAAGCTGAAATAGATGTACGAAATGAGTTCCAACACCCTAGAGAGATGCAAAAAACTATTGAGGATGGCATCGCAAGGGGAAATACTTTCAAGTTGATATCGTATGACAAGTTAGTTTGTAATGTAAACTAAATTGTTCTTATTATGTTGTGAAGTTAAGTACACCTAAAAACGTGAAGTTTACATTAAAAAAAAAAATTCCAAAAAATTGTTCTTGGAAATTCGAAAACCGAGTAAGTTTTGGATTTAAAATTTATAACAATTATTTTAATATACAAATTTTTATTCTAACAATATTTTCATACACTAGTCTTCCAAAACTATTGGGTTAAGTGGTTATCCGTGAGATTTGCAAATTTATTACGAGTGATTTCCAGAAAAAATGTAAATAACAATTAATCTTCCATACCTATGGGATTAAATGGGCGTGCATGGGATTTACAAATTTGTTACGATTGATCTGCGGATGGGTACGTTACGACCAATGTTCGGTTGATGTTGTAAATGTTTCCCAAAATATTACAAATTGAATATTCAAAAGTTAATTTTAAAATAATTCTAAATGACAACAAAAATTCAAATAGTCATACTTTTCAATAAAATACAAATAATTGGTCGTAACAACGAATGATGCATAGCTAAGTGAAACATAACATTGCCTACATAAGCTTCCTTTTTTCACACATTGAGTAGTCAAATCGTGGAGAGACTTGTCAGTATATGCAGATGGATTGTCAAGTCATGTGACTTGGTGCACAGGCGTTGGTTTTCTCGATTTTTTGCTCGATTTTTTTATTACAGTGACAACTCATCTCTTATTGATATATGTGGGATTCTCAATTCAGAAAATCACATGACAACAGTGAATTCACTGATCTACCTTACAGTGAGCATGCCTTTATTTTGTTGGTATATGCAGATGGATTGTCAAGTCATGTGACTTGATGCACATGCATTGCTTTTCTCTGTTTTCTTATTACAGTGACAACTCATCTCTTATTGATATATGTGAGATTGTCAATTCAGAAAGTCACATGGCAACAATGAATTCACTGATTTACCTTATAGTGAGCATGCCCTTATTTTGTCGGTATATGCAGATGAATTCTCAAGTCACGTGACTTGGTACACAGTAGTTGTTTTTCTCTGTTTTTTCATTCTAGTGACAACTCATACCTTGTTCGTATATGTGGGATTGTCATGCAGAGGCATTTATTTTCTATGGTTTTTCCTTCAATGTCTTTCTAAAGTCGTTCATAACCAACTATATAAACGACTAAAGGTGAAGACACAACCTTATAACTCATTTCGCCCTACGAAATTATCATTCATTTGTTTAAAAAAATTAGCATGGCTACACGATTCATGGGAGGAAGTGGGAATCGCAGAGGTGGTAGAAACTTGCAAAGGGTGTTAGTTCACGACGAGGAGGGGGAAGGGAATGTGGCGATGCGGAAGACGAAACAACAATACCTATTTTAGATTATGCTTGTGGTTATCGTGATAGGTTTAGGAAGCGACATTTTTTGATGCCCAAGTATTATCGAGTTCAAGGAGGTTCATGTATGGAGCCATCTGACAATCAAACAGGATATGGTTTATCTGACGCTGCTCGTCTCAAGTGGCCCGCAATATTTATACAGCGGGTACAACTGGAAACCTTAAGTCGTGAAAATCAACTTAAGGTGCCAAAAGCACGTTCTGTTGAGATCCAAAAGGAAGATCCTGATAATGTTGATCGACTATGTGAAAGACTACAACGTGAGATTTCTCAAATGCGCCGTAGGTTAGCCCGCAATATGCAACTATACATAGTTAAGAAGGATGCCCAGAAGAATAAAACAGAACCAAATGTTACGGCTATCAAGGGTATCATGGAGGATCCTGAACTTGTCTTTGACGCTGAGCTTTCGAATTATTCAGACTCTGAGATTGCCGATTTAAGCGCAAATTAGGTGTTAATGTCTACACTTTGGTAATATTAGGTCATACATTAATATGTAATGTCTGTGTTAGACTAAGGGGGTGTTTGGTGGGGCTTTTTTGAGCCAACTTATGGCTTCTAGCTTTTAAAAAGTTATTTTGGACTGTTTGGTTAAACTTATTTCAAACAGCTTCTGATTCTAACAACTTATTTTAAGTCAAAAAAGCTGATTCTGAGAAGCTGCTCACCCATTGCTTCTGATTATCAGTTTCTGCTGTGGACATGTTAATTTACAGTTATACTCTTAATTTTTTTTATTTTTTATTTTTTTAAAAATAGAAAAGACCCAAATGAACTATAAAATATTATTATTATTTTTTATGAGAAATGTAGACAAATAGTAAATTATAAAAAATAAAAATTAATTGAAAAAGTTACTTCACAGTTTATTTAACAAACATTATTCAGCAACTTAAATCTATAATCCAACAGCTATACCAAACAGATTAACAGCTTCTGATTAAAGTCATAATCTATAATCTGTTAAGCTATAATCTATAATTTGTTTTAACAGCTACACCAAAGAGCACCTAAGTGTTTCCGTAATGAGTTTGTCAGATTGTCTGCCTAATATTTGTCTGTCTAACTGTTATGTTTATGTATTGTGTGTTCAATTCAGGGTGTCAGGATGTATGTATTGTGTGTTCAGTTCATGGTGTCCAGAATATATTTTTGTGGGAGATTTATGTCTGTTCTACCTATGTAACTGAAAACTGTTACATTTGCAACTTTAGTTATGTTGTTTCATGCCTGTATGAGTATTTAGTAAATTAATGATTTTGTATATTATGTATTAAGTTTTATTACAAAAATGTTGACAAAATTTATTTTAGGAGAAATACACATTCTCTTAACTTGTTCATCTTCTCAATCGTGACAACCAAAAAATGTAACCATTATTCATTGAATATAACAAATAACGTTCTCATTCTTACAAAAAATACACTACTAATTGAATAAAACAAATAACATTTCCATTCATTCATTCATTGCACAACATCAGTTTTATGAAATAAGTGAAACCAATTGAATTATAATAACATCAACTCCAACCCAATATTTACATTACATAAGTTCATGTTCGTAATCAGAATTAAATTACATACAAGTTACATTACATAGCAAAAAATAGAAAAAGTACCATTCGTATGTAAAAAATACATCACCAAAATTTGAGGTCTTTCTCTTATTCCTTCTTGCTGCAGCTCTCGCGGTGGCCTTTGTCTTCTTGGCCTACTCCGCGGTGCTCTTCGCGTCTCACCCTTCGTCATTGTTCGTCGAACTGCACAGTGTGTGGGTGTGCTTCAGACTGTAGAGCATGTATATCACCTTCTAACCCAAAACAAAGGCGAAAGAATTTTTATTTTTTTTTTAATGAAAACGGCTAGAAAACAGTTTTACCAAACTGGTTTTCTGAATTACATTATCACCTTCTAACCCAAAACAAAGACGAAAGAATATTTTTTTTTTTTAATGAAGACGGCTAGAAAACGGTTTTACTAAACTGGTTTTCTGAATTACATTATCACCTTCTAACCCAAAACAAAGACAAAAGAAAAAATATATATATTTAAATGAAAACGACTATAGTAAAGCCAAAATAAATTTATGAATAACTCCTTTTAGTCCAAAACAAAGACAAAAGAAAAAAAAACAATTTACATGAAAACGGCTTTAGTAAAGTCAAAAAAAATTTATGAATTACATTATCACCTTCTAACCCAAAACAAAGAACAAAAAAAATTTACATGAAAACGGCTTTAGTGAAGCCAAAAAAAATTAGTGAAGCCAAAAAAAATTTTTGAACTACATCTTCTAACCCAAAACAAAGACAAAAGAAAAAAAAAATTTAACATGAGAACAGCTTTAGTAAAGTCAAAAAAATTTTATGAATTACATTATCACAAAAACAATGACAACAGAAAAAAAAAAATAAAATAAAATAAAAAAAAATTTAAATGAACAGTAAAAGCGTGGTTCCAATCCACCCTTATTGTAGTGAACAGTGAAAGCGTGATTCACAATCACGTTTTCTTAAGAAAATAAATATGCACAGTGAAAGCGTGGTTTAGAACACGTTTTATCCAGAAAATAAAATTTAAATTATATGCACAGTGAAAGCGTGGTTTGGAGCCACGTTTTCTTCAGAAAACAAAATAAGCACAGTAAAAGTATGGTTTGAAACCACGTTTTATGAAGAAAACAAATTTATCTTAAAAGTGTGGTTTACGCTTTTTTAATTAAAAGCGTGATTTGTAATAACTCTTTTATTATTTTATAAATTTTTTGTTTCAATGAAAACCTGATTTGTAATAACACTTTAACCTAATTTAAAAATTCCGCTCAAACTAGACCTAATTTAAAAATTAATATGATAATTTGACTTAATAGGAAAAAAGCCTCAAACAAATGTGCCCGTTACCTTGTTTTTTTTTCTTAAACCTTGTAATCGATTGTGTGTACATATGCTGTTAAGGCCAAGATTAAAAGACAATAGAGAAGGCAACATTACATTTTCTTCATCCAAAATAAATTTTGCACCGCGCAGAGGCGGAGTACAGAGAGAGAGAGAGACAGAGAGAGAGAGAGAATGGAGAGCTCGGGGGAGATGGTGGCGTTTCCGTTACTGACAACACCAATCGAGTCAAACTACAGGGCATGCACCATCCCATACAGATTCCCGTCTGACAATCCTAAGAACCCTACCCCTACCGAGCTCGCTTGGATTGATCTCTTCCTCAATTCCATCCCTTCTTTCCGGTGCCCCTTTTTACTTTTTCTTTTTTAACTTCAACTTCAACCTCATCCTCATCCATCAAAACAAAACCCAACACTTGTTTTACTTCTTTCTTGGATCTGCCATCCTCTTTTCTCTTTCTTTTCTACAAACCCTTGTTTATTTTAATATATATATATATATATATATATTTATTTAAAATAAAATATAAAAAAATGGATTTTAGGAATTTTTGTGTTGGGTTTGTTTGTGTTCACTTAGTATTTACCAATAATATTAATATGCACTCATGCAATTATATATGAACATTTTTTTTTGTTGGTTTGAGTTTGAGCTCTTCACATATTTTCACATCATTCATTGGTTATTGGGTGGCTTGTATATGCAGAAAGCGAGCGGAGAGTGATGAAACAGTTCCTGATGCTCATATCAAAGCTGAAAAATTTGCTCAAAGGTGTTCCTTCTCCTTACCAACTTCATTTATGCTAGCAATTTAAAAGTTGATAAAATATCATCACTATCACACAATGTATAAGCCCCCTTTCATCAGCAATGGCTATTGGATGCTTAGGAGTCCTACTTTTTCCTTTTTTACTAGTGAACAGTATTGTCATTGCACTTCTCAATATACTTCACAGTTAATTGAGACTATCACTATACATGCTTGTGGTTGAGCTTGTTCAAGCAACTTGGGGTGTGCTTCTAAGATTTGCTGCACTGCATCATTCATGTCACACCCCGGTTTATAAGCCGGTGGATTATTATTAATTTATGATAATTAGGATGACTGAACCGAATAAAGTTTAGTTCAACGCTCCAGCACATACACCCTCAACTCTCCAGTACATGAAACCTCTCAAACTGCCTAATCCTGGCCTATCTAGCTGCTAAAATAAAAAACCTCCCCTCCCACGCTAACAAGTTGAGCCTCTGAAGTGGCTCTCCTCTCTCTCAAACTCAAAGCTGCAGAACCTTAGTTGCCAGCTCTAACTCTACCACACCACAGCCTTCGCTCTAGCCAATGCGGACTCCGTCAAAGGCTTGTCCACCGTTCCTAGCTCAATCTCAAGCTAATGATTCTTCACTTGAGCTTCCATCTAAGACAAACTTTCTCCAAGCCAGCTCACATCAAATTCATGACATTGAAACTCCACCACAACAACACGAGATGACTAGAGAACTTCAAGAGAAGTCTCCGGAGTGAGATCACAAAATCCTGTAAGCATGTCACAGAATGCCTCCAACAAATAGCGTTTTAGAAACACTACCTCCAAATGCATAAAAGTGGTTGGTCTATGATGAAAAATAGAACTCATCCTGGGCAGTGGGCACATTCTCGCCTCGCACTTCATCAAATAATATCTTGGGATCAAGAACCCGTTCCTTGCCGTAAGATCCTAACAAAGATACACAACCATCATCAAGATGAGTTACAATTTACTCGCCGTCCATGACAGGTAAGCACACTTGGCTACCAACACCAACATCATCACTAGTATACTCTCCAAGAACACAGCCGCTACTCTCACCAAGTAACGAATCGATAGAAACTCCAGAAGTAGGCAAAATAGTCATTTGAGTGTCAACTGAAGACAAGTTGATACTCTCACCAAATAGAGGGACAATGGGAACTCCAATAGTAGGTAAATTGCTGGACTGAGCTCCAACCAAAGGAAAGTGATCGGCCTACTCACCATCACCACTCACCTCAAGTCCAACTAAGCCAACCACAAGACTCCCTAATTGTAGCAGGGGAGGTGCAAAAGGCACTCGATCCTCAGACCACAACACAATATAACATCATAATGTAAACCCAAAGTGTTTGAGGTCTCTCATTGCCACCCTCTCTATCTTTAAGTTTGCCTTGGTCTTCTCCTCCTCCACCTCTGGTGATCCTAGGCACTCGATCCTCAGACCACAACACAATATAACATCATAATGTAAACCCAAAGTGTTTGAGGTCTCTCACTGTCACTCTCTCTATCTCTAAGTTTGCCTTGGTCTTCTCCTCCTCCACCTCCGGTGATCCTAGGCCATTCAAATTCTCTCTTACAGCCCAAAATGAATATACACACCCAGTTCACAAGTGTGCATGACCCCTAGGACATGACTATTTTTCTGATTGTTTTATGTGCCGACTTGTTCGACATGTGATGTGAATGGTAAATGCTGGTTAGCTCATAATGGCACTCATTCGGTTGGTACACAATCTTAAATGATGCTTCACTTGCCCACCAAACTTTTATTAACCTCCGTAATGAACACAATAAAGGGCTCAAACACTTTGCTTGGCCAACTCTGGTGTTGTTGGAAACCTAATGACTATCAGAATATATTCTCTGAACCAAGCCAATGCATTAAATATCCTTCATATTATAAGCACACATACTAAATGATCCAGTTGTGTTTTCTAAGCATTCTAGATGCATAACTGCAGTTTCCAATAATATGGAATGTACTCACCTATGTTTATGAGTGGATACTTTTTCCTTAGACTTGAATACCTTGTCATATTTAACCACTTGACTTCATCATTTCTTTGTTCTTCATCTGCTGAAGGTACACTGAAATATTGGAGGATTTTAAGAAAGATCCTGAAAGTCATGGAGGGCCTCCTGATTGCATAGTAAGCCAAATTCCACCATTTGTCCAAATAACTTGACCCGAATGATGCTCTGTCTTAATTGGTAATATTACCTGAATTCATATCTTTTTTCTGTTCTAGCTTCTCTGCAGGATCCGTGATCAAATCCTTAGAGAAGTGGGTTTCAGAGATATATTCAAGAAAGTTAAGGTAAGCATAAATTTCATTAAAGGAAGTTAATGTAAGCTTAAATTTCACTCATTGAGTCCTTAATTGTCAGCCCAGCTGTTTTGAAATATTGGGGAGACTATAATCCTGACAAGATAACTATTTTAGGTGGCTTAGGCAAAAGTGCAGGCAGTTTTTGAAAAAAAAGCTTGCCAAATCCGTTGTAGTGGAAAAAGTAGTGTTGCTAGAATTTATGGAGGGGTGGATGGGGACAATAGCTGGTTCAAGTGCCCGCTAGTGTCTTTTTCTTTTTCTCTGGATCCAAATCATCTCTCTGAGTTTCCACTCAAAGAATGCTTTCTTTTTGTGATCAAATGAACTAGGATGAAGAAAATACGAAGGCAATATCCTTATTTGAGGATGTTGTTCGTCTGAACGATGCTATTGAGGATGGAGCCAAGCGTGTAGAGAATTTGGTTAGAGGAATATTTGCGGGGAACATATTTGATCTTGGTTCTGCACAGGTATCTTATGCTCTTAGCTGGAAAAGTGTGTGAATTAAGAATATAGAGCTTTCTTCTTTCTTTTATATTGGTTTCCATTCCGTCACTTTATTATTTATTACACCCAATATAAGTGGCATATTTAATTTGGAGTTAGCAGTTCATCATACTTCATGAGTAGCTATTTTTTTATTTTTGTTAATTTTTTTAACAGTGTCAGTGTATATTGTTTTGTGCATTCATTCACTTATTTAGAACTCGTACAATTTTTACTGAACTTTCTTGCCCTTGGGTTAGGACTGTAAGTGGAGAAACCAGTTTTTTGGTTGGTTTAGCAACTAGTTTCTTCAAAGTTAATTCAATAAAGAAAATAAACTATGCTTCAAAGATCATTTGTTAAATGAGCTGAGTTTGTGTTAGTACTAGCTTGACTTGGCTTGGCTCAGCCGACAAACAAAACAGAATTTGACTTGTGATTGGGGTTTAAGATACAAATATGATGAATTAATTGGTATATTACATGTGTGTTAAAAAAAGTAAGTGTAATAATGTACTTCAATGAAGGACAAGTGCAAAGAACACTCTCTGATAAATAGTGAGTCCAAATTTTTAACACATGGAAAATCAATGAAAAGTAAGCTTTAGAGACTGATTGCAATTGGTTTTTGTGCCTGGAAGGATGGTAGAATTTTGGACTTTGGATGGTTAGTAATTATGTATTAAAAAGTATACATGTTGAGTTTATTTCAAATAGGAAAAAGGAGTTTTGTTGCTTTTTAGGTGCTGTGAACATTACCTGAGAACAATAATTTTTGCAGATTGAGGCTTCCTTTGTGTGCTATTGTTGTTGGATTGTGTTAAACTTGATTACGCTTGTCCATCAGGCTTATTGGAGGTAAATGAAGGGTACCAAGTGTTGGGTCTTGTGGACCTTGATAAGTATGGTGTACTGAGTCCTAGGTCCAATGGGGGTTTGGGGGGGCTCTCCCAAGGTTTCCTTTGTCAATTTCATGTTGCTTTCGGGTTGTCCTAATTTCTATGCCTATAAATAAATTGGGGAAAACCAAACTTTTATTAACAAAAACAGCAATAGTCGTGGCGTAACCCTATTTTGGGGTAAACCACATAAATCTTTGTGTTTCTTGTGTGTGTGGTTTCTTCGATTCATTTGTTTTTCTTATTTGCTATTTTGTGTCTCACCGATCCTAGTTGGGAAGAGTCGATTTCCTAACACTAATCTTGTTTATGCTGTTAAGGGTTTAAAATTGTAGGAAATTGAAAATAATGAGAAAGAAGAAGAAAAAGAGTTAGGGAGCACACCTAAATTTCCGTAGGCATCATACCTAGAGTTAGAATTACCTCACAAAATCACAAAAGAGTTTCATATAAGTCATAAGTTTTTTAAATCATGTTCTCTATTGAATTAAAAGCATTTCATTGTTTTATAAATACTTGAACTCCTAATTCCAAAATAATTGTTTTATGACTTCAAAGTAACTAAGGACTTAGACTTCTAAAATCTTGTAAACATACTAAAAACCATATGTGAAGATCTAAAACCATATTTTTGACCCATGACCCATGGGTGACCGTTACAACCTATGTCCAAATTTTTTTTGAAACTTCCAAAATACTCCTAAACTAACGCATTAGACATTAAGGCCTCGTTTGGGGAGTAACTATTTTAGCCAAAAAGTCACTATAAGTTGTCACATCACTCTCTCTATTTTTCTGCTCATCTTTTCGTAAAAAATCAAAAAAGTTACTAAAATAACCTATTCTCAAATGAGGCCTAAAAAATATATAGAAAATTGACTAAAATCAATTCCTAACCTAAATAGTCGTAAGACTCAACTAAGCCCTATGAAGCACGGGTACTCCAAAAATGGTGTCGTACGAGTATCGAGTACTTACTGGGTGCGAGTACGTGTACTGGTACGGCGGTATGCGTACCAGGTACGCTGAATGCATGCCGGGGACAACACATACCTTTGGGTACGTCGTGGGTACGACATGGGTACGACGAGTTTTTTTTTTTTTTTTTATTGCAGCCTTTATTATTCTCCTTTCAATTTTGAAAATAGCAAGTAATTTATTTCCAACACCCTTTACCCATGAGTCATGGTTTTACTCTCTGTTGCATCTTGTTTTTTTTTTTTGATAAATAAATTTTATAACCACAGCATCAAGAAGATGCTAAAAGAATACAAAACGAACCCCGCAAAACAGGGACCTAACCAACTAAATCATTAACAAAATTTAAGATAACAAATAAATCTGGATTCACCCTTCCCAACACCCAGCTGTACAAAACCCCTAAAAATTGAGACTTAAAACATGTAACCAATTGAGCACTTGAAAAATCCGACGATTCTGCTCCAGCCAAAGCAACCACATCAAACACAAAGGAGCTAAAGCCCAAGCCTTCTGCCGCCGCTTCCCAACTCAGCCACCCCCCAACAACGAAGAACCTCCCTGACCTGCTTCGGCTGAATCCACACCACTCTAAACAAAGAGAAAATAAGCACCCCCAAATGAGAAGCAAATGGACAGTGAATCAGCAAATGGTCCACTATTTCTGTATCCACACAACACATGTAACACCAATTAACCAAAGTATGATACCGGCAGATCAAATTGTTAATGGTCAAGATCCTACCAAAAGTTGTTGTCCACGCAAAGAAAGCCACTTTTGATGAAACACCAGGGACCCACACAGAACACCAAGGGAACTCCCCAAACCAAAACATCCTCCCCTTCCCGCCCAACCTGAACCCCGTATAACAAGGCCAACAAATCCACCAACTGCCCAACCTCCCAATCTTGCGTATATCGACGAAGTAAAATATCCCAAACCAACCCCTCATCCCCTCTAGCCAAATAAGACGCCACCAGCGCATCAGGATCCACCACCAAACAGTAGATCAAAGGAAAACGCTCTAGAAGGGAATCTCCCTACACCACTTATCCTTCCAAAATCGCACCTGAGCTCCATTGCCCACCCGAATCCCAAAACTGGACCTTACTCAGCTAAATCCACTTCCACAACCCACAACCAAAAGAACCCCCCACCACCCTAGTACACCATTCTCCTCTCCCCAACCCATACTTGGAAGCCACTACCCTGCGCCACAAGTGATCCCATTCCTGAGAAAAACTCCATAGCCACTTACCCAACAAAGCCAAATTAAACCTACACAGCCTACACACCCCCAAATTAATTGGGAGCAGGTCTGTTGCATCCTGTTTTAAACAATCAAAAAAGAAAAAGAAAGAATTATATAACTTTTTAGACAAATTATTCTCTTTTTAGTTTTAATATTGAAATTTTGATTTATATGTTGGATGTTTAGCTATAAATTAAAAAAATAAATAAATGTACCCCAGCTGTACCTGTACCTGTACCCTACTTTTTAAAGAATTTGCCGTAAGGGCGTACCCGTATCCGTACTTGCACCCATGCTTCATAGACTAAGCCTAAAAACTTGATTATACATGTTTTAATTGGGTAAGTGATATCTTGATTATTTACAACTTTTGTTGCTTCCTTGAATTTACTTCCTTTTATGGTTTGCATAAAATATGATGTAGGATGAGTGCAATACACGCTCTCATACTAGTAGTGAGCCTCAAGTTTATATATGATTGTAGTGCCGATTTTATTTGTAGCGGAAAGATGCGCAAAAGTGTAGGGTTGTTTAGGGGTTTTATTGGGTAAAAATGTGTGTGTGTGTGTGTGTGTGTGGGAAGGGGGGGGGGGCGCCTGGGGGGATTCCTTTTATTTTCCTGCTATAGCTCTGTTTGAACTTCCATTAGAGAATTGTCATTCTTTATTTATTTTATTTTATTTTTTCTGGGTAGAGAGTTATCATTCTTACTAATGAAATACATGTTTAAGCAAATGGAACTTTCACCGTTCGCTTAATATGAAATGAGGGGGAAAGAAAGTTGTTTGCTTGACATAAACTCAATTATTCTGTTTTTAACTGGCAAATTGGCATTCTAATTCAATTTACATGTCTGCTGCACATTGGCACTCTCATCAGCATTTGTTGAAGTGCATGGTTATTTTGATTTCATTTTCAGTGTTGCTGGACCAGCAAATTTTGTGGGTGATTTTTCCCTAGGGAAAGGTGGCCTATTGAATTGTAATTGCTTTTTGCCTGAGTGATTGGTTTCTAAATATCGTGTCACCCACACCCAATAGTTTTAAAGTTCATGTGAACTTTAACAAAGCTTTTATATTATTTTTTGGCATTACCAATATATAATACTTACCATTCTAACTGTTTGTTTGCGGGGGTGTGAAATGAGCCAAACTAGCTAGATGCTCAAGCTTGGCTTGACTAAACATATGAAGCTTGAGTAACCAGTTTAGGGTATGATGAGATATCACCCCTTATTTATAAATGAAGATTAGGGTTTACAAGGAAGACAATTACAAGATGATCCCTGAGTGCATAAAAATGATTACAGACCCTAGTGACTTTCGGCTAGTATAAAATGCTAAGTGCCTTTCGGTGATTATAATATGCCAACACTCCCCCTCAAGCTGGTGCGAAGATATCTCTCATGCCCAGCTTGCCTAATATGTCATGAAACGGTTTATTCCCAATTCCCTTGGTGAGAATGTCAGCAAGTTGTTCACCAGACTGAACAAAAGGAGTACAAATGGTACCACTAGTGAGTTTCTCCTTAATGAAGTGGCGATCAATCTCAACATGTTTTGTCCTGTCATGTTGAACTGGATTGTGAGCAATGTTGATGGCGGCCTTATTATCACAGTATAACCGCATGGAGTCCGTCTGAGCAATACCTAGATCACTCAACAATAATTTGATCCATAAAAGTTCACACACACCTTGTGCCATAGCTCTAAACTTAGCTTCTGCACTTGACCTGGCAATCACATTCTGTTTCTTACTCCTCCAAGTAACTAGGTTGCCGCCGACAAATGTGCAATACCCTGAAGTTGATCTCCTACTCTTACAATCTATGACCAGACAATTTTGACCAGTCAAATGGTATCTTAAGGAATAGGACAGGTAACATGCCAGCATTGTTACTTATCTGAAAATAGCTGTAACATGTTAAGATTGATTCATATATTCTCCTCTGCTTCTGCTTCTTGACATTCTTGTTATTTTATTTTGGTCATCTCAGAAAACTCTGTTGAAGACCTCTATTTTAACCTATATCTTAAAGGGGGATGCACCAATAAATCCCAAATTAATAACTTATATACTGTTTAGTCCTAAAAGTTTTCTTATAGACTGAAAGGTTCCATTACAATGTTTCAAACATCAGATTAATGTTTCGAACAATAGATTTCGAACATCAGATTAATGTTTCGAACATTAGATTCCAAACATCAGATTAATGTTTCGAACATTAGATTGATGTGCAAATGGGACTAAATGGAGCATAAGAAAACTTTTAGGACTAAATGGTTCAACTTTTCAGAAACTAGGACTTATGGGTAAATTTTCCTATCTTAAATGACTAGAAACAATCTTTGTCATCTTTTTGAAGGCATCATTATGTAATGTTTGTTGAAAATCTTTTTGAAAAATTGTCTTTCTACAGTACCATTTCACCCAGATCTGCATCAGGATACAAGTGGATTTTCAAAAGTAATATCTATTTTGAAGAACCCAAAAATCATCTCTTGCAATGAAAGTGTTTAATGTAGTTCTTAAGTGATTGTTATTAATTTTTATCTGTAGTGCAAAATATTATGGGGATATGTTTAATGACAGTTTCAATATCACTTTATTTTATTGAAATTTTTCCCGCCCCTCTTTTATCTATTCTTGAAGCTTGCAGAGTTGTTCTCAAAGGATGGAATGTCCTTTTTGGCTAGTTGTCAAAATCTTGTCCCTCGACCATGGGTGATTGATGATTTGGATGCTTTTATATTAAAATGGGGCAGAAAATCTTGGAAAAAGGCAAGCTCCATATGCAAGTTGTTTTTAACTATGACTGTCATTTAAAAAGAAATATGTTTTTTTTGCCTACACTAACCAGCTCATTTTTTTTGGTGGTAGGTTGTCATTTTTGTTGACAATTCTGGTGCAGATACGATTTTGGGTATATTGCCATTTGCAAGAGAGTTACTACGACATGGAACGCAGGTTTGCTTCCAAAACCTTTTATTTTCCTGCCATGCAGCTAATGTATCTGTTTGAACTTCCTTAGAGAATTGTCATTCTTTATTTATCTATTTATTTATTTATTTTCTGGGCAGAGAGTTATCATTCTTACTAATGAGATACATGTTTAAGCAAATGGAACTTTGACTGTTTGCTTAATATGAAAATGAGGGGAGGGAAAAGTTGTTTGCTTGACATAAACTTAATTATTCTGTTTTTAACTGGTAAATTGGCATTCTAATTCAATTTACATGTCTGCTGCACATTGGCACTCTCATCAGCATTTGTCGAAGAGCATGGTTATTTTCATTTCTTTTTCAGTGTTGCTGGGCCAGCAAATTTTGTGGGTAATTTTTCCCTAGGGAAATCAGCATTTGTCGAATTGCATGGTTATTTTCATTTCTTTTTCAGTGTTGCTGGGCCAGCAAATTTTGTGGGTAATTTTTCCCTAGGGAAAGGTGGCCTATTGAATTGTAATTGTTTTTGGCCTGAGTGATTGGTTTCTGCATATCGTGTCACCCAATAGTTTTAAAGTTCACATGAACTTTTACAAAGCTTTTATATTATTTTTTGGCATTACCAATATATAATACTTACCATTCTAACTGTTTGTTTGCTTGGGTGTGAAATGAGCCAAACTGGCTAGATGCTCAAGCTTGACTTGACTAAACATAAACTATAATCTAGCTTAGCTTGCTAAAAATCTAGCCATCATATCCTTAGTCACCTAATCTATGTGACCTGATGCTCTAATTTGTGGATCAGTGAAGTGGCATGAAAACAAATCAAATCTGTGGTCCACGGACCCGTCGATTCTTGTCGTCAAATCAATCAGATTCTATTTTGAACTATCATTTACTGACACGTTTAAGATACCCCAAAATGCACCTTCTACCTTCCAAGAACTCTAGCATGAAGATTTGAACCCATAATTATTAAAATGTGACTGATGCACTCCTGTAGGTAGATAGACCATTCTTCCATTTGAGATCTTATCTCAAGTATTTTTAATTTATCCCATCTCAAATGCATTTCCTTTGTATGAAGTTATTAACAGCAGAAATGGTTACTTTTCAAAAGTTATTGATGTATTTAAAATAAAATAAAATAAAAATTATGTTAAAATGTACCAAAACCTACCACCACACCTACTCTACCTACTTCACCTACTCCACCTACTACTCCACCTACTACATACCTACCTCCTTTAATCTTCTATATATAGGACTCATTGTAAACACAATATACAACAATCAAATATATAATAAATTGATTCTCTCTCTTTTCCCTATACAGTAATTCTAACATGGTATCAGAGCAAGGTTAAGAACCTAGTATTTTCGCTTCACCGGCGGGCGGCAGCCTCGCCTTGGCCGCCCGCTGGACCTCTCATCTTCCAACTAATACAACTCCTCCTCTCTCTCTTTTTCTCTCGGTGTGCAGGGGAGGGAGACAACCCCACAACACCAAGCTTCCTCCCTCTTGCTAGTTTTATGTTCAACAGACCCAACACACATGCCCTGATGCACAACCACATATCACACATACGCATGTTCGGCTTTGTCGGCATCCCCGTCACCTCCTCGCCAACCGCGCCGTCGCTCTCGGCATCTGATTCATGCCTTCCACAAACGAGCAGTCCGCCGGTTACGCCGCTCTGCCTACGGCTTCCTCACTGGCCATCCCGGCATCCTCTCGCCATCAACGACTGACCTATGTGATGGTCTCTTTGTTGCAGTTGTAATGGTGGTTCGGTTGAGTCATCAAGGTATGATGAGTTGTTTCAGCAACAAGACCGTCGGTGGTGGTGATGATGCCTCCAACACCTTCTTCAGTAAAGGCGGCTGCCGGAAAACCAAACGCTCCAAACGCTGGGGCAAAGATGGTCTGTTTTCCTGAAAGCTTCTCCTATATGGGTTTCACTGATGTGAACACTGTTAAGATTGGAGAACCTCTTGATGGACCAATCATGAAAGGGTATTGCTCCTTGCAAGAGTCAAAACTTTGGTTGTCACATAGGAGGATTCCAAGAAAGAGTATCTGATGATGAGCACCTGCGTAACACCCATGTTTTAATAGATGATGTTGGCAATATCAGGAGCACTTATTCAAAACTACACATGTTTGATGTGGATATTCTCTGGAGGTGCAGTATACAAGCGAGCAGCTTTACAGAACCAGGAAGGATATTATTGCAGCAGACAGCCCGTTAGGACGTGTGGGCTGACAGTTTGCTATGATATGAGATTCCCAGGGCTTTATATTCATCTCATATTTCCACTTTCAAACCACAATCCTTTGTTTTTAATCAACCCACTATCTCTCTCTCTGGTCCTTTTTCTCTCTCTCTACTCAAGGATCCACCACTTTGTCACTTTCCAACCCTTCCTTCACCTTTTGCACTCCACTCACCATATATCTACCGATTCAGGGGACAAAGCATATATATCTTTTATATATATAATATATTACCCACACTATTATCCTTCACTCACCCTATATCTACTGATTCATCAATATATATATATATATATATAATGATTTTTCACAAACCTTTATTTTATTTTATTTTTATTTTTTCTATCTTTCTTTTCATCAATACTTCCATATTCTACAATTCAGTTGGTGAGTATCATCATTTTTCCATTCCTCTATTATTTATTTTATTTTTATTCCAATCCAAAAAAAAAAAAAAAAATCCATTCACAACCAATTCGTTTTCATTTCACAAACTTGTCATTTCTTCATGCGGGATCAACCCCGATCACCATTTTACACCAAAAAAAAAAAAAAAAAAAAAAAAAAAAAAAAAAACCACAAAAACCACACAAGATCATCATTACAACAACAGATTTGTTTTCTTTTCGGCAGACGGCCCCACCGACCTACTCTGCCGCCGTCTCTTCTCTTTTGCCTCCGTCCTGGGCGTCCTTGACGGTGCTGCTCTGTGCTTCCTAATCACCAAGCACATTCACTCCCCCTGCTCCTCCACTGCAGCATATGGCGGACCTCCAATCGGAACATCAGGTGGCCTTCCGCTTCAGCTCCTTATTTTCGCCTTTAGCACACTTATCTCTGCTCGCGCATCCTTATACATGTGTTGGAGCAGAGCCAGCTGGGAGTTTAACTGCTGCACCTCATTTGTCTTACTCTGCACCGGTGCGACAAGTTTGTGACGCAGTCATGGTTTCCACACATGACTTCAATGTATACTGATTGGCCTCCACATCCGATTGCACTCATTCTTTGCTCCACAGACCGCATCGGAAAGTTCAAACGGCGCAAAAACAGAGGCGCTTGGTTGAGTTCCAGGGCAACCGCACCAGTTATCTCTCTTGTGACTCGTTGAGGTCGGGAAAAAGAGTGAGCAGACCACGGGAAGAAGAGGCCATGTTCTGGGTAGCTGAGTGTTTCAGCGAAGCAGCGATTTCCGACTGGTACTTTCAGAGAAGGATTGGTTACAGAGTGTTTACAGAGTATTTCAGAATGCAAATGTTCGGCGGTTTCAGACTGGTTTGCACAGCCTCCGCCAACTTGGTTAATAGCCAAGGCAGACACGTGCATCATGCGTCGCTCGGCGCGACGACAACATGGGCGCTCTTTTGATGGCACGCCTTTTTATGAATTGGGTACGCCTTTTGATGGCACGCCTTTTGAAAGATTGGGCACACCTTTTGAGGGTGCGACTTTTTAGGGGTCCGACAAGACTTTGTAAACTGTCCCGACATTGATTCCGGTTAGCTCCTTTATGGGTTCGACAAGACTCTGTAAACTGTCCCGACATTGATTTCGGTTAGTTTCTACAAGGGTCCAGCAAGACTCCGTAAACTGTCACAACAACTGTCACAACATTGTCTGCTACAACGGTCCGACATGACCCCATAAACTGTCTTCTACATCGGTCTGACACCCCCATACAGTGTCCTCTACACGTTATGACACCACCTTTCAGTGTCTTCACCAACGGTCTGACACGACCATACAGTGTCTCCTATCCTTTTTTTATTTTTATGTATTTTCTTGTTTTACTCTTCTCTCCAAACTCAAGTTGGTTAGTTTCTCTCCTCCTTGAGTTTGCGGGGGGCTGTTAGAATTTACCTACACCTACCACCACCTACTACACCTACCACCAATTTACCCTCACCTACTCCTCACCTACTACCCAAACCCTCTCCTATATAATGAGCTACTCTGCTTTGTAATATAATACATCAATGTATCAGATCAATCATAAACTCATCAATCAATAATACATAAATTTCTACAGTATCGGTATCCGATAAGTATCCGATACGGATACGTCGCCCCTTTTGAAGTATCCGTGCTTCATAGGTTCAGGTCAAGCCGGCTTTTCAGAGCAATAATTTTTCTTTTTCCAAGTCCTGTAACTCAAAATCCGCAGCATTATTGGCCTTTCACTTTGAAATAAAGTAATGATTATGTAGTCAGAATGGATTAGAAGCATGAATTCATTCCATCACCTGTCTCATTTCTTTTTTGAAAGAACTAGACCTGTCACCTCGAAGTGTGACATGGGGTATGCTGTGAGTTAAGACAATTGCTACAATGAATTTGATTAGAGATTTTCTACATCTCTGACTCATTATTCTCATAAAAGTAGGCTTTTATTGGCCACAAGTTTTACAGACCATGAGAAAGCCTTTTCTACATAATGTATTCCATACTCTACTATAGCATGCCCATAGACTTAAATGTATTTGCCTTTTTTACCATACCCGCTAGGGGTGTGCATGGGTTGGTTCAGCCTGGGTTTACCCTTAATCCGGCAACCGAACCGAAATTATCGAGTTATGAAATTCCTCAACCATTATCGACTGATCTATCATTCGAAATTGACCAAATGAAAATAGTTGGTTTTTTGGTTGAATCGGTCAATTTGGAATATTTAACAGAGAAGGGAGGTAAAGGAAAAAAATTGAAAAAAACAGAATCATAGATAGATACAGATATGAGCAAATCAA